CAAAAGTTCTCAGGTGCTGCGGGTGCTGCTCGTCCAGAGACTGCGTTACTGAGAACCACTCTAGTCTACTGACTGTAAATTGTTGAACTCTAGAAAAAAGCTTCCTTCTGTCTGGGATAAGAAGCACACTGATGATGGAGCAAATCATGAAAGATTCAACCCTTGATCGCAGCCTAGCGTGCAATTCAGGTAACAAGCAGTACGCAGTGACATAACAGAGTCCTTGGTTTCTATGATTCCAAGTCATAGCCAAGTATCAAGTGAGAAATTAGTTTTACTTGCAAGGCTTAGGCCAGTGGATTCTAGAAAAGTGGGCCTGGCATTTGTTTTAAGCCAGTAAAGAGCTTTGAGTATTTATTAAATTGAAATTACTGTGTTTTTATGTATTTTGTATTTTATTTAATTTCTTTTGAGATGCAGTCTCGCTCTGCCGCCCAGGCTGGAGTGCTCTGGCATGATCTTGGCTCACTACAACCTCCGTCTCCTGGGTTCAGGTGATTCTCCTGCCTTAGCCTCCTGAGTAGCTATGATTACAGGCACCCACCAACACACCGGGCTAGTTTTTGTGTTTTTAGTAGACACAGTGTTTTACCATGTTGGCCAGGCTGCTGTGGAGCTCCTGACCTGAGGTGATCCACCCATCTAGGCCTCTCAGAGTGCTGGGATTAAAGGTGTGAGCCACTGCACCTGCCAAAAAGCTTTGTGTTTTTAAAGACGTTAGACATGTCTCTTGTTGGGGAAAAAAAAAAAAAAAACCTTAACAATAATGCGGGAGAAATGTTTTTCCAAAAAAGGTAAATCATTGTGATTATTTTATCTTGCTGGAATGTTGGGTAACATAGTCTGCTTCATGAATCATCAGGCATGCTATGGATTTTCCATTTTTATAGGGTTTGTATCTCAGTTATGGTAATAGTGGTAATTCTTGTACTCATTTGAAGATGAAAAACAGAGACCAAAATCATAGGCTTTACATTGAAGCTGGATAACGAAGACACCTTTGAAGGCACANGAACCTGTTCATCCTCACAGTGCTGGGGACTCTGCGTCCAGGTGTTCCTGAGCCCCAATTGTTCCCTCCCCTGCCCGTGGCTAACTTATTGACCAATGAACCCCTCTTCTCACCCAAGCCAACCCGAGTGAATTTTCTGTCACACACATTCGAAGAGCCCTAGACTGCAGTGGCAGGACATGGCAGGGCTGGGCTGGCCGGGGCAGAGGATAGTGTGGGTGGAATCAGCTGTGACAGGGACACAAAAAGCACAGTTGTCATGTGGCCTTCATGAGGTCTTCCTCCAGCCCTGACTGTGAGCCAGCCTGGCCCCATGTGCTCAGCGGGTCAGAGCGAGGGGTCTGGTCAGAGGTGCCATGCTGAGAGGTGCCATGCTCAGAGCCATCTTTCTATGAGCCAATCTCTTCATCATCAAGGACTTTGCCATCGGAGACAGTGTTAGTCACTTCTTGGGTTCACTTGATCAGCTGCTGTGCTTCTAGTTTCAGCATCTTTAAACTGGGCCTCCCCACATGGATGCTAGCAAGCCAGAGGCATCCTGGCCAGAAGCCCAGACTGGGAAAAGGGCTCCCGCCAGCGTGCTCAGGGTTCCAGAGGGCAGGACTGAGTGGGTGGGAGGAGCCCAGCCTGGGCCACCGAGACATGTATATATTTTCCTATATCATATATATAATGTATATATTTTCTTATATATACATTTTAATGGAGTCGAGCAAGCATTTTTGGAATGAATTCCTAGAAGCACCATTTCTGGAGGAAAATCATGTAAAAACAGTTTTAGGATTTTTAATAGAAATGTTCAAATTATCCTGCAGGAAAAGTGGCTGAGCTCATCCTCCACGAACAGGGACAGAGGTCCAGTCTCCCCTTCCATGTGTCATCTTTGCTGACATTTATACAGAGAATCTCATGGCTTTCCTGGCATTTCTAGTGCTTCTGTATCTTTTTATATGCCTGTTGGCCATTCTCATTCTTGTGGGAAGTGCCTGTTTTTCCATTGCTCTTTTTCTGTTGAAAGCCATTTGTTTTATTCTGAGTTTAAAGATTTCTTTATAGGCTAAGGATACAAACATTTTTTATTTGTCACTGAGGTTGTAAAAACTTTCTCCCAGTAAGTAATTCATCATTTCACTTTCTCTCTCTCTCCGGTTCTTTATTTTTGCAGGTATAAAAATGTGCCTACCAGGAGTCTGCTTTCTACACATTGAACGCAAGAAATAATACAGTAAAACTCCGCCTGGCTAGAGGCTTTGAAGGAATGGAGTGTTCTGGTTTAATTCCATTAACTTGGAAGTCTGAAGGTGAAAAAAATTCAAAACTTAAATTTCCTGTTGAAGTTGAACGAAATTTGAAAATATTGGCAACGATTTCACTTTTCTTCTCTAGCAAGTTTGAACATTCTGATCTATTTAGTGCTTGATTAAAGAACTCCTCGTGTGCCTGATGTTTACATTGTGATGATACATTTTTAAAACTTTAGGTGTAAGAGGATGTAAATGGTTTTGTATGAGATCAGGCTGGATGAGAACTGGTATTTATAGATATGCTTTTTAGACTAAATCTCTTCTGCCCCTTGTTTTCTGATTGAACTCATAAAAAGAAAACACACTGGATGAAGGGTGGGAGTAGGAAAGAGATTTCTGTGTTTTAATTGCATGTCATTATTTCATATCAAGACAGAACATAGAGCATCCCTGCTTTTGGACCTACAGAAGGAAACACATTTTCTACCTGCTGTATGCCAGAAGGTCTTCAACACCTGGAGGGATGAATGCCACAGATTGCCAAGCCCTACTCCGGAGTTTCTGATTCATCAGGCCCAGGGTGGGGCCTGAAAACTTGCATTTCTCAAAAGTTCTCAGGTGCTGCGGGTGCTGCTCGTCCAGAGACTGCGTTACTGAGAACCACTCTAGTCTACTGACTGTAAATTGTAGAACTCTAGAAAAAAGCTTCGTTCGGTCTGGGATAAGAAGCACACTGATAATGGAGCAAATCATGAAAGATTCAACCCTTGATCGCAGCCTAGTGTGGAATTCAGGTAACAAGCAGTACACAGTGACATAACAGAATCCTTGGTTTCTATAATTGCAAGTCATAGCCAAGTATCGAGTGAGAAATTAGTTGTATTTGCAAGGCTCAGGCCGGTTGATTCTAGCAAAATGGGCCTTGGATTTGTTTTAAGCCAGTAAAGAGCTTTGAGTGTTTATTAAATTGAAATCACTGTGTTTTTTTGTATTTTGTATTTTATTCTATTTTATTTCTTTTGAGATGCAGTCTCGCTCTGCCGCCCAGGCTGGAGTGCTGTGGCATGATCTTGGCTCACTACAACCTCTGTCTCCTGGGTTCAGGTGATTCTCCTGCCTTAGCCTCCCGAGTAGCTACCATTACAGGCACCCACCAACACGCCTGGCTAGTTTTTGTGTTTTTAGTAGAGACGGCGTTTTACCATGTTGGCCAGGCTGCTGTGGAGCTCCTGACCTCAGGTGATCCACCCATCTAGGCCTCTCAGAGTGCTGGGATTAAAGGTGTGAGACACTGCACCTGCCATAAACCTTTGTGTTTTTAAAGATGTTAGACATGTCTCTTGTT